TTGTAAAAGAATGTTTCTAACGTGAAAATGTTTATGATATAATGTTAATTGGAAACTGGAAAAAGCAGCTTACAAAATATTTATAGTATGGTTTTATTTTTTAAATAAAATGGATGTAATAATATTTTTACCTAGGAAAAAGAATGTCAGGATGTACAGCATACATGCTTCCCTGTCACTTACACATTTTCTAAGTGCACATACATCATTTTTATAATCGGAAAAAAGTTGAGTACTTAAAAAGTTTTCAACTTTCTGTAGAAAAGAGAAAGGGACTTAAGCCACCTGTGTTCTTGCACATTTTATATTATGCAATAAATACTACTTAGAGTCCATATCCTAGAGGTTTTATAAAAATTAATGATTAATTAAGCATAACTCTTTGAAAGTACTTCAACTAAAATAATCTGAAAGCTCTGTTTAGGATTTGGCTGTAGGAAAAAGATATGCTCCCACACAGTCTAATGTATTCAACTAGCTCTATTTGCATTGCCTCATACATCAAATGCTGCCACCCAACGTTGCTTAATCTGTGTGCGTGTACATATATAAGTAGAATTGGAATATAACTGCGTTAACTGCTATCAATCACCAACTACAGGAAACCACATCATCTGAGACCAGCCCTTCCCATTTATAACTTAGGTGAGTATCATTACCAGTGTGCAAGAATATCTGCTTAATGTCACTGGAAAAAGCAGCAAAAAAGAACCAGTGATGTTTATATATTGTCATATGTCTGAAATATTTCTGATATAAAAATAGGAGAGTAAGGAGTTAGTCTGCAAAAATGGTGAAGGGTAATAATACTTATCAAGGTTAAAGATTTGTAGATTGAAGAAAATGCTTTGTTTTTCAGAATAAGATTTGAAAATATTTCCTTATGCTTTTGACTTATGTGATTCTAAAAAGGGTACTGACTTTCTCTGGGTCAACAATTCCATTGTAAATGTGATATTTTCAGCTTCTTATCTCTCTTGCTCGACTATGTAAGCTAAAGTTGGTTTAGAGTAGAGCTCTTCCAAGTGTGTTCTCTCAAACTAGTCCAGGGGGTGAGAGTAGGGGAGAAAAAAATTATGAGATCAAATAATTACTGAAAACAATTAGTTAAACAAAGTTACTCGTGATCCTCCAATGAAGGACTATCAGTATCTTTACTCTGCTAATGTGAGTTCTGACTCTCCCAGAGATAGACTGTAGATTGAGACATTTCCCAGATTTATTTGAAAAGTAACTAGGAATTTTTTTTTTCTGGACATAAGTATCCTTGCATAAAAGAGAAAACAAACAAAAATCACAGCAATGCAGTTGTCATGGTAGTGAACTGTTACTTCAATACCTACTATTTAAACTACTTTTTGTACAATTTAAAATTTTAACTACAATTGGGTTACCTAACTGCACTATTCAACATGTATGATACAAATTAGCTACCATATTCAGAAATTTATTATTACAAAGTAACTGGACAAGTGCTTAGTGTAAAAGAAAGGCAGAGTGTTTGAAGTTAAATTCCCATTTCTGATTATTTTCTTCCTACATTTTGAGGAGGGAGAGGAGACAGGATGGAGAGAGATAAGATGAAAGGAGGCAGGATGGGGAAGTACTGGCATCAAGATGGAAGTTGTTAACTAAAAGAAAAATTAATTAACAAGGTTTATATTTTGGAAAAAGGAGAGCTTTATTTCTCCCAAAGGGTGGCAACCTGCTGGGCAGCCATTCCAACAGGTAGGGAGCACAGCCCCAGCCAGAAGCCAGGCTCATGTGCTTGAAAGAAAAGACAAAAGTGGGGCAGGGGAAAAGGGGAGGAGTCAAATTCTACATATTGGGTACAATGAACATTATTCGGGTAACAGGCACTCTAAATGCCCAGACTTAAGTATTATAAAAGGTATCTATGGGCCAGGCGCGGTGGCTCACGCCTGTGATCCTAGCTCTCTGGGAGGCCGAGGCGGGTGGATTGTTTGAGCTCAGGAGTTCGAAACCAGCCTGAGCAAGAG